TGGGATAAAAGCAAGGGCCCTTTACAGTTATTGATATGTGATTTGTAATCACTTTTATAATGACAAATTTGTAATAAAGTTGGTAGAATTACCGACAATAGGTAAAGTAAAAGGACACAAGTGCAACTAATGTGACATTTATTGTGGCAACGTTTCGCTCTCCAGGAGCTTTATCAGGCCATTACAAACAATACACGGACACAGAGGGTATATAAAGGCTCAGAGTGAGGTGCAATACTAGTGAGGCACCATTTCGATGTTCACTAGTGGTAGTGGTAGTAATAGTAGTAGTGGTAGTGACAAAAGTAATACAATATGGTAGAGCAATTAATTCGTACATGAGTAAAAGGATATAAAAGCTATTACTTGGGTAACATAAAAATAGGTTGGACAAATATAGACTGGAAAGAGGCAGCTTGTTTCAGTGTTCACTCTCTGTAATGTGCTTTGTGTAGCATAACAGGAGAGACTATGTGATGGCAGGGTTTACTGTTTTCAGGAGGATTCTTGCTAAGACTTCGGAGATGGTGAAGCTGCCGTTGTTTTGTTTAATTGTATTCGAAACAGCGATCAGTGCTGATTCGAGGCACTTGCGTCTGCAGAAATTAGTTTCTTTGATCACTAATTGTGCGTCTCTGAATTTCATGAGATGATTGGTGGAATTTCGGTGTTGTACACAAGCGTTGTTCAAGTTATCGTTCCTACATGCGTAAATGTGTTCATTGAGGCGGGTGTCGAGGTTTCTTGCTGTTTCACCTACGTAAATCTTGTCACAGCCTCCACAGGGTATAGTGTAAACTCCTGCATTGACTGGTTCGTGGTGCTTGGATTTTGTCCTGGTTAGATCCTTTATTGAAGTGCTAGAAGCGATGGCGACTCTGGTGTTAGCTTGTGAAAGTACTTTTGAGACGTTCAGTGCAACCTGGCTGTTGGGAAGAATTATAACTTTGTTGGGAGTGGTGTTGATGCGTGGAGAATTAATGATCTGAAGAGCTCTTTTCTTGCAGTCTTTGATGAAAAAAGAAGGAAAATGTAACTCGGTGAATGTTTGGTGAATGTATGTACATTCCTCGTCAAGAAACTCAGGACTACAAATTCGGTATGCTCTTAGGAAAAACCCGATGATGATGCCTCTTTTGGTCTTGGTATCTTGATTGGTGGGTTTCCGATAAACTTGAAATCTTAGGTTGTTGTCTACTTTGTGAATGAGAACGTCGAGGAAAGGTAGCTTGTCATTGGACTCTTCTTCTAGTGTAAACTGGATCGCCGGTTCAACTGCGTTGAGCCTTGCCTGAAGATCCCGTACGTCAAAACGTTTTGGAGTTATTACCAGGATATCGTCCACGTAACGTAACCAAGTGACGCTTGAAGGGATGATGTTGGCGAAGTGTTCGGACTCTAGGTGTTCCATGTATAAGTTGGCTAGGACGGCACTTATGGGGGACCCCATTCCCATGCCGTAGGTTTGTTTGTAGAGCTTGTTATTGAAAGAAAAACAGTTGAAATTAACACAGAGTTCAATCAAGTCAACAAAATCTCCGGGAGGTAGAGGAAGATTTAGGTCCTGATTGACTTTACGTTGTAGAACCTTGATGGCTTTTGTGATAGGTACTTTTGTGAAGAGGGAAGTCACATCCAAACTGCTTAGTTTCTTGTTGCGAATGGAGAGGTTACGGATGCGGTTGAGAAGGTCGCCTGAGTGTTTAAGATGAGCGGGGCTGATGGTCCCCAGAAGGCAGGAAAGATGTTTGGCAAGAACTCCGGCTAGTTTGTGTGGGGGACTACCTATTCCTGACGTGATAGGTCTGAGAGGAATATTGTGTTTATGGGTCTTGGGTAAACCATACATGTGTGCTGGTTTAGGGTTGCTTGGTAACAAGTACATCAGTTTCTTCCCTTCTCTAGTGCATTTGAGTATTTGTCTAGTTTTGTATAGAAAATCTTTGGTGAGCGTCTCCCACTGTTGAGTGCTGATGGGTTCGTATGTAGATTGATCGTTCAAAAGGTCCATCATTTTAGTGTTGTAGTCACTGGTGTTGAGTATGAGCCTTCTCACTGCAGCTTTATGTGAACCTTCTTCTTCTAATCTTCCTAGACGATACATCACTGCCCTTAAGAACCTCGCCAACGACCCCAACATTATCGTCACCACCGCTGACAAAGGAGGTGGAGTCGTCATACTCAACACCAGTGACTACAACACTAAAATGATGGACCTTTTGAACGATCAATCTACATACGAACCCATCAGCACTCAACAGTGGGAGACGCTCACCAAAGATTTTCTATACAAAACCAGACAAATACTCAAACGCACTAGAGAAGGAAGAAACTTCTGTACTTGTTACCAAGCAACCCTAAACCAGCACACATGTATGGTTTACCCAAGACCCATAAGCACAATATTCCTCTCAGACCTATCACGTCAGGAATAGGCAGTGCTCCACACAAACTAGCCGGAGTTCTTGCCAAACCTCTTTCCTGCCTTCTGGGGACCATCAGCCCCGCTCATCTTAAACACTCAGGCGACCTTCTCAACCGCATCCGTAACCTCTCCATTCGTAACAAGAAACTAAGCAGTTTGGATGTGACTTCCCTCTTCACAAAAGTACCTACCACAAAAGCCATCAAGGTTCTACGACGTAAAGTCAATCAGGACCTTAATCTTCCTCTACCTCCTGGAGATTTTGTTGACTTGATTGAACTCTGTGTTAATTTCAACTGTTTTTCTTTCAATAACAAGCTCTACAAACAAACCTACGGCATGGGAATGGGGTCCCCCATAAGTGTCGTCCTAGCCAACTTATACATGGAACACCTAGAGTCCGAACACTTCGCCAACATCATCCCTTCAAGCGTCACTTGGTTACGTTACGTGGACGATGTCCTCGTAATAACTCCAAAACGTTTTGATGTACGGGATCTTCAGGCAAGGCTCAACGCAGTTGAACTGGCGATCCAGTTTACACTAGAAGAAGAGTCCAATGACAAGCTACCTTTCCTCGACGTCCTCATTCACAAAGTAAACAACAACCTAAGATTTCAAGTTTATCAGAAACCCACCAATAAAAATTATCTCACACACTTCTATTCCAGTCAAGATACCAAGACCAAAAGAGGCATCATCGTCGGGTTTTTCCTAAGAGCATACCGAATTTGTAGTCCTGAGTTTCTTGACGAGGAATGTACATACATTCACCAAACATTCACTGAGTTACATTTTCCTTCTTTTTTCATCAAAGACTGCAAGAAAAGAGCTCTTCAGATCATTAATTCTCCACACATCAACACCACTCCTAACAAAGTTATAATTCTTCCCAACAGCCAGGTTGCACTGAACGTCTCAAAAGTACTTTCACAAGCTAACACCAGAGTCGCCATCGCTTCTAGCACTTCAATAAAGGATCTAACCAGGACAAAATCCAAGCACCATGAACCAGTCAATGCAGGAGTTTACACTATACCCTGTGGAGGCTGTGACAAGATTTACGTAGGTGAAACAGCAAGAAACCTCGACACCCGCCTCAATGAACACATTTACGCATGTAGGAACGATAACTTGAACAACGCCTGTGTACAACACCGAAATTCCACCAATCATCTCATGAAATTCAGAGACGCCCAATTAGTGATCAAAGGAAACTAATTTCCGCAGACGCAAGTGCCTCGAATCAGCACTGATCGCTGTTTCAAAAACAATTAAACAAAACAACGGCACTTCACCATCTCTAAAGTTTTAGCTGAATCCCCCTGAAAAAAGTAAACCCTGCCATCACATAGTCCTCCTGTTATACTACACAAAGACATTACAGAGAGGAACACTAAACAAGCTGCCTCTTTCCGTCTTATTTGTCCACCTATTTTTTTTGTTACCCAAGTAATAGTTTTTTATCCTTTTACTCATGTACGAATTGCTCTTTCCTATTGTATTACTTTTGTCACTACCATACTATATTACTACCATACCATAGTGAAAATCGAAAAGGTGCCCCAATAATTTCACCTCCTCTGAGCCCTTTTTATACCCTCTGGTCCGGTACTGTTTTTAAGGCCTGATAAAGCTCCTGGGGGCGAAACGTTGCCACAATAAATGTTAATTAGTTGCCCTTTGTCCTTTTCTTTACAATGACAAAATTTTCTGTAAATCATTTCAATCACTGAAAAGCCCCCTTTACGAGCCTTTTTCCCTCCTATGGAGAGGGGGCTGGACACGGGGGGTGTCCCTCAGGGTTTCTAAAAACAACAGACATACCCCACTCCACAAAGGGGGCTAAAGCAACAGCAAAGAACTACGACCAATGCCAACACCCTTCATAAAAAAACTTTGAAAGGGTCCTAAGAAGCAAGATCACCACCCATCTAGAAACCCATCAGTTACACAACCCAGGGCAACATGGGTTTAGAACAGGTCGCTCCTGTCTGTCTCAACTACTGGATCACTACGACAAGGTCCTAAATGCACTAGAAGACAAAAAGAATGCAGATGTAATATATACAGACTTTGCAAAAGCCTTCGACAAGTGTGACCATGGCGTAATAGCGCACAAAATGCGCGCTAAAGGAATAACAGGAAAAGTTGGTCGATGGATCTATAATTTCCTCACTAACAGAACACAGAGAGTAGTCGTCAACAGAGTAAAGTCCGAGGCAGCTACGGTGAAAAGCTCTGTTCCACAAGGCACAGTACTAGCTCCCATCTTGTTCCTCATCCTCATATCCGACATAGACAAGGATGTCAGCCACAGCACCGTGTCTTCCTTTGCAGATGACACCCGAATCTGCATGACAGTGTCTTCCATTGCAGACACTGCAAGGCTCCAGGCGGACATCAACCAAATCTTTCAGTGGGCTGCAGAAAACAATATGAAGTTCAACGATGAGAAATTTCAATTACTCAGATATGGTAAACATGAGGAAATTAAATCTTCATCAGAGTACAAAACAAATTCTGGCCACAAAATAGAGCGAAACACCAACGTCAAAGACCTGGGAGTGATTATGTCGGAGGATCTCACCTTCAAGGACCATAACATTGTATCAATCGCATCTGCTAGAAAAATGACAGGATGGATAATGAGAACCTTCAAAACTAGGGAGGCCAAGCCCATGATGACACTCTTCAGGTCACTTGTTCTATCTAGGCTGGAATATTGCTGCACTCTAACAGCACCTTTCAAGGCAGGTGAAATTGCCGACCTAGAAAATGTACAGAGAACTTTCACGGCGCGCATAACGGAGATAAAACACCTCAATTACTGGGAGCGCTTGAGTTTCTAAACCTGTATTCCCTGGAACGCAGGAGGGAGAGATACATGATTATATACACCTGGAAAATCCTAGAGGGACTAGTACCGAACTTGCACACGAAAATCACTCACTACGAAAGCAAAAGACTTGGCAGACGATGCACCATCCCCCAATGAAAAGCAGGGGTGTCACTAGCACGTTAAGAGACCATACAATAAGTGTCAGGGGACCGAGACTGTTCAACTGCCTCCCAGCACACATAAGGGGGATTACCAACAGACCCCTGGCAGTCTTCAAGCTGGCACTGGACAAGCACCTAAAGGCAGTTCCTGATCAGCCGGGCTGTGGCTCGTACGTTGGTTTGCGTGCAGCCAGCAGCAACAGCCTGGTTGATCAGGCGCTGATCCACCAGGAGGCCTGGTCACAGACCGGGCCGCGGGGGCGTTGACCCCCGAAACTCTCTCCAGGTAAACTCCAGACTACTGTCAGGGTAAATGCCTTTCCCTTGATCAGAAGAATGGAAAAAGAAATAAATAACTTGCTGAGGTAGAATAATAATGAAAATTGTAAAAAGTATTTAATTAAATATCATAAAAGTAGCCATCGGATATTCTGGTTGTTCTTGAGACAGGGGAATATTCTTATCAAGGATATCTTACTCAGGTGGGAAGGTAAGATGTTTATATCCTTGGTTGACAGTGGTATTCTTTAACATATATAGATGGAGAATGCTCCTGTCATTGCTGGTTAGTAGAATCCCACTTCAGATTGTAAGGGAGAGATGAGGAATCGATATTTCCTAAGTCTCGTTGCCGGGGATCTAGCTCCCAAATTATCGAGCATCTGCTACGGGAAGACCAAGCCAGCAGCAGAGCTGGTAATAACAAGAAAAAAAAACTGTTACAATATGGTTAACAAAGTGTAAATTAAAGAAAGACAATGGGTGGTAATTGTACTTCAATGTCATTACTGGTAACCAGGTTAAACACAATACTTTAAACAATATTCCTGGTAGATCACCTTGCCTGATTAGGAGAAGAGTGGTGGTGAAGTGATTACTCCAACTCCCAACCAAACCAGGTAAGAATGAACATTAAAATGGTATAAAATACCGACAGATTGTTAGGTAAGACACATATGCAACAGTTAGGTATCTTTATTTTGAAACGTTTCGGCTGGGTTTGAGAAGGACCTGCCCTCCCAAATCAACCTACGTCTCACCTCCTGGCACTATATAAGGCCCGATTCTGTCACTTCAGCTTCATATTGTTTCAGACAACGGAACAATGCTCTTCTCCAGACTGAGGGACTGACCACCTCAAAACTTTATTTATTTATTTATTTATTTATTTATTTCCAATTTGTGCACACATACAGAGGTACAAAAAAAATACAGATAAGAGCAGTATGCCAAAGTGGTGACGTGTACTTAGCCCAGTGGTGACGTGTACTTAGCCCAGTGGTGACGTGTACTTAGTTCAGTGGTGACGTGTACTTAGCTCTGTGAAGACCTGTTTGTGTGCTCTTGAGTGGTGACCTGTACTTTGAGTGCTGACCTGTACTTAACTCTGTGAAGAAGTGTCTTGTTTGCTCCCGTGGACTGAACCAAGATGCCCTCCATCGAGCAACTTTACCAGCAACTTAAGGAAGAATTGAGGGCAGCGAAGATGGAGATACGGAGATTGACCGAGGAAAACAAAGGTTTCGTAGTAGTCCTCCCGTTTCGAGTCCTCAGGGCAAGAAGGGATCGTGGCAGTGGCCCGGACAGCAGGGGACACGAAGTTTGACGATCAAGAAGACGAATGGAAAGCCAGAAACGATGAAGAAGAAAAGACTGCGTGGAAACTCCCGTGGAAACCCCCAACGCATTTTCGGTGCTACCCGACGAATGTGAGTCTACTACTGGGATCGTCACGACGAAAGAACAACAAGGAAGGTAAGAATATTGTTGTTGTTGGGGATAGCCAGGTTAGATTTCATGGATAGGGCATTCTGCTTGAAGGACAGGAGTAGGAGACAAGGGTATGCTTTCCTGGGGCTGGGATGGAGGACATTGTTAGCCGGCTTGACAACATCATGAACGGTAATGGGGGTCAATCCTATTATTTGCCTCAGGGGCTGGAGGCAATGAGTAGGCAAGCGTAGAAGTGAGGATTTAGTTAGAAAGTTCGGACAGCTATAGACATGATTAGGAAGAAGGGGGGGCGCCCTGTTATATGTGGCATTTTGCCAAGAAGAGGGGTTGGTAATGAATGGTTGTCCAGAGCAAAAATTTGGGATTAATTGTTGGCTGGATAAACACTGTAAGGATATGCAGTACCATTCATTGACAACTGGGACAACTTCCCATGGCCGAAATGACATGTATGCCAGGGATGGGGTTCACTTATCCCGGGCAGGTTGTGGGTTTTTTTGCTAACCCCAGTTGAGGGGGTTGTTAGGACTTTAAACTAGGATTAGTTAGAGGTATGGGTTTAGAAATGATTAATAATGAGTATGGATATATTGACTTATGCTCTGATATTAAGAATCTTAATAGTAACTGTCATGGAGTAAAATCTGGGTAATGATAATTTCAGAAATTGTGTAAAAACAAAGATGAATAGCAAAAATGTGCAGAAGAAAAAACATATGATGGTATTTTATGCTAACAGTCGAAGTGCAAGAAATAAAATTAATGAACTACGTTTGGTAGCATGTGCTGGGAACTTTGATATCGTTGCATTGACTGAAACGTGGTTTGATTTAAGGAGTCGGGATATGACTGCTGAGTGTAATATTCAGGGATTTAAGTTGTTCAATGTGGATAGATGTAATGGGAAGGGGGGAGGAGTTGCATTGTATGTTCGAGAAAATATTAATTGTTGCATAAAAACAGGTATAAAAATAGATGGAGCAGTAACAGAGTCTGTTTGGGTAGAGTTCGTGGAGGGTCAAGAAAAACTAATTCTAGGTGTAATATACCGACCTCCAGGCTTGGATCACGATAGAGGGAGACTTCTTTGGGACGAAATTGTTAGGGCTTCTGGCCACAGTAACGTAGTCATAGTAGGGGATTTTAACTTTAGCCAAATTGACTGGAATTCTTTGACAGGTAATCTAGAGTCCAGTGACTTCATGGAAACAGTTCAGGACTGTTTTCTGAAACAGAGTGTAACTGAACCTACCAGGGTAATAATTTGCTAGACCTAGTCTTGTCAAATAAGGAAACACTAGTGAATAATCTGGAGATCACTGAAGAGCTTGGCGCAAGTGATCACAAATCCATCACCTTAGCATTAATTGGAATGCAAGAATAATGATATACAGTAAAAATCCCCGATTTTCGTTCTGCCGATTATAATGGACTTAGGGAACATCTGTCTAATCTTGATTGGGGTTATCTAGCTAATGATTTTATTGACGATAATCATACTTATGAATATGAAGGGATCTGCTTTTATGATTGTTTTTCTTAATAATGTACACAGTGCCCAGAGTATATACATTCCACAGAGAGAAATTAGGTCTAATAATAACGATCCCAAATGGGTTAACAGGAGGTTAAAGCATCTATTAGGGGAGAAAAGGGGAATTTATAGGCGCATCAGAAGAGGAGAGGTTAACCTTACTGACCAATATGTTCAGCTTAAAAGAAAAGTAAAAAAGGCGATTAGAAAGGCTAAACGTGACTATGAAAATTAGAGTCGCTAATGAATCAAAGACTAATCCAAAGGGGTTCTTTCAAGTGTTAAGGACGAAGGTGAAGGAAAAAGTAGGACCTCTGAAATCTGGGAATGGACAGCTGACGGATAATGAACTGGAAATGTGTTCCTTATTTAATGACTATTTTTTGTCAGTTTTTACACAGGAAGATGTAAATGGATTCCAGTAATAAACAATTATTTAGTTCCTGATGAATTCAAGTTAACTAATATTACTGTCACGAGGGCATGGTTATTAAGCGGATAGACAAACTGAAACAAAATAAGTCCCCGGGACCCGATGAGTTGTTTTCAAGGGTACTTAAGGAATGCAAGATGGAGCTTAGTCAGCCATTAACGAGTGTATTCAATACGTCCATCCTTTCCAGTGTTGTGCCAGATATGTGGAAGATGGCTAATGTGGTTCCTATATTCAAATCAGGGGATAAGTCCACTCCTTCAAATTACCGTCCAATAGCCTGACATCTATAGTGGGCAAGTTATTAGAATCAATTATAGCTGACATTATCAGAAGTCACCTTGAAGAGCATAACTTGATAAATGAATCTCAGCATGGATTCACGAGAGGTCGTTCCTGCCTGACAAACTTACTGACGTTCTTCAATAGAACATTTGAGGCAGTTGACAGTGATAAGGAATATGATATTGTTTATTTGGATTTTAGTAAAGCCTTCGACAGAGTACCTCACAAGAGACTCTTGAGAAAAGTGGCAGCTCATGGTATAGGAGGTAAAGTTCTAGCATGGATTGAGGCATGGCTTACCAATAGAAAGCAGAGAGTTACCCTTAATGGAGTGAAATCTGAAATGGGATTAGTCACTAGTGGCGTTCCACAAGGATCAGTTTTGGGCCCTCTCTTGTTCATAATTTACATTAATGACCTTGATGAAGGGATTACTAGTGACATGAGTAAGTTTGCTGATGATACAAAGATAGGGCGTATAATTCACTCTGAGGAGGATATCAATGAACTCCAGGACGATTTGAACAAACTAATGTCTTGGTCTGAGAAATGGCAGATGAAGTTTAATGTGGATAAGTGTAAGGTACTTGCCCTTGGTAATGAAAATAACCCTCGAAGCTATAATCTAGGTGAAGTAGAGCTTGGTCATACAGAATGTGAAAAAAGACTTGGGAGTCATGGTAAGCAGAAATCTAAAGCCAAGGCAGCAGTGCCTCAGTGTGCGCAACAAGGCCAACAGATTACTTGGATTTATCTCAAGAAGTATAAGTAACAGAAGTCCAAAAGTTATTTTACAGCTCTATACATCACTAGTGAGGCCTCATTTAGATTATGCTGCTCAGTTTTGGTCCCCTTACTACAGGATGGACATAGACTCATTAGAGAACATACAGAGAAGAATGACTAAAAATGATTTACTGTGTAAGGAACCTCCCGTATGAAGATAGACTTAAAGCCTTAAATCTCCACTCTCTGGAGAGGCGTAGAATGAGGGGAGATATCATTGAAGTGTATAAGTGGATGACGGGCATAAACAAGGGAGACATTAATAAAGTACTGAGGGTGTCGAACCAGGTAAGAACCAGGAATAATGGATTTAAGTTGGATAAATTTAGATTTAGAAAGGACATAGGTAAGTACTGGTTTTCTAACAGAGTTGTAGATGCGTGGAACAGTCTTCCCAGTGGGGTGATAGAGGCTAGGACCTTGGGTAGCTTTAAGAAGAGACTGGACAAATATATGAGCGGGAGGGGCTGGGTTTGATTGGTGTTGGGGGGTGCGGGAGTTGTTTCTTGAGTAGCTTTAGGTAGATGTCGTTTTGATAAGGACCTGCCTCGTATGGGCCAGTAGGCCTTCTGCAGTGTTCCTACATTCTTATGTTCTTATGTTCTTATACTATGCATAGCATTACGGGCTGGCTTAAAATTAACTTAAGATTAACTAAGCAATGATTATTATTATTATTATAATCAAAAAGAAGCGCTAAGCCACAAGGACTATACAGCGCTGCTACTAAGCAATGATGAAATCAGTGATAAAACATTAATGTAAACAGATAACTATAAAGCACAAGTGAGTATTACAAAGACAGGTCATATGGTTGCATTCAGTTAGGTAGTGATTCTGTTAGGTAGTGTATTTAAAAAATAATAAAGTTAGATTGGGTTTTAGGTTTAACATTTATGTGATATAATTGTGAGAAACATTTAAGTATACAATTTATAATGTTCAGTTATTCAGTATTATTTGGTTTTGGGTGAGTAAGTAATCTTTGAGAAGAGACTTGAATTTATAAACAGGTTGTGTTTCTTTTATATTTACAGGTAATGAATTCCAGATTTTAGGGCCTTTTATGTGCATTGAGTTTTTGCATAGTGTGAGATGGACACGAGGAACATCAAAGAGTGATCTGTGCCTTGTGTTATGGTCATGTGTTCTGTTGAGGTTGGCAAGGAGATGTTTGAGGGGAGGGTTAATATCAGAGTTAAGTGTTCTATGTATGTAATAGGTGCAGTAATAAGTATGGATGTTTTGTATGGTGAGTAGGTTTAGTGTATTGAATATTGGTGGAGTGTGCTGCCTGTAGTGAGATGGACTGATGGACTGTGATGGACTGATTACATCGTCTTCAAGTATCTTCTGCTTCTATCAACTTTTCTGTACTCGACTGAAGAAGCCTACTGTGTAGGCGAAACGTTTCAAAATAAAGATACCTAACTGTTGCATATGTGTCTTACCTAACAAACCAGGTAAGGTTAATACTACCAGGATTAAAAATTAAGACCTCAGACCCGGAGAAATCTGGCATTTTTGCAGCGGCCTGCTAGATGGCAATGTGGGCAGCAACTCACTGTAACAATCTCTTGGAATATGAAATACCATTAGCCCAATTTGCTGGCTTTTCTCCTCACACTACCTTCAGTTCCTCTCACCTCCACCTGGCTTCTGCTGGGGATCTTCTTAAGTCATGAGAAATGCTATGAAAATTCATGGCAGGGTATCATGCAAGATGAAGTTCATTGTTAAAACCCACGCATTTAGTTACTGGTGACTGGCATCAACACACACAGGAAACATAAATAGCATATGATCATTAACTCAAATAAATTTTGGTGTCTCTAAAGGCAACATTCCAAGCCACCTACTATTCCTCCTCTACATCAGTGACCAACCCAACTTATCAAATCAGTACTTTTTACTGATGACACTTGTATATGTATTTCAATGCAAACCACTCTTCCTTTAACAATATAGTAAACAAACATAAAAATCTAGACTTCTATGACAGGCACCAAACTCTTATGTCGTATAGAGAAGGCCTACTACATTTTGTAAACAAAGCTGCCACCTACATAAGGTTCATTTTCAGAGCTACACCTAGATGATAAACTGAAATTCATTACTCATATTTAGCACAAAGCAGGTCACAGGAGTTGAAAATATAATTCTGAAGATCCATATTCATGTATATAACTCCATAACAGGAATTCCTGTTATGGAATTTGACACACTATTAAACATACTGGGCCTGTTTGGTGATCAACTACAGACAATGAACCACAATGCATACCCAACACAAAAATATACATTGCACAGTATACTAATCATATACAGTGGACCCCCGCATAACGATGGCATCACATAGCGATTATTTCGCATACCGCTTACTTTAATCGCAAAATTTTTGCCGCGCATACCGATTAAAAACCCGCTCACCGATTTTCGTCCGAGACGCGTCCAATGTGCGCCCTCACCCAGCCTCACATGTGCCGCCCATGCCATTGTTTACCAGGCAGCCTCCGCGCTAACATCCAAGCATACACTCGGAATATTTCGTATTATTACAGTGTTTTCGGTGGTGTTTCTGGAAAATAAGTGACCATGGGCCCCAAGAAAGCTTCTAGTGCCAACCCTGTGGTAAAAAGGGTGTGAGAATTAGTATGGAAATTAAGAAAGATTTTGAAGGGTTTGGGGCTAACCCTGAGAAGCCTATGCCAGTTGTGGAATCCATTGTGCCTACTTCAAAGATTAAGGAAATGTGTGCACAGTGGGTTGAACTGCAAACCTTTATGGATGAAAATCACCCTGACACAGCTGTTGCAAGCCGTGCTGGTGACTATTTCAATGACAATGTTGTGGCCCATTTTAGACAAATCGTAAAGGAACGGGAGGTACAGAGCTCTATGGACAGATTTGTTGTGCGACAGAGGTCCAGTGACTCTCAAGCTGGTCCTAGTGGCATTAAAAGAAGAAGGGAAGTAACCCCGGAAAAGGACTTGCTACCTCAAGTCCTAATGGAAGGGGATTCCCCTTCTAAACAGTAAGAAGATAATGCTCTCCCCTCCTCCCATCCCATCAATCATCACCAGATCTTCAATAAAAGTAAGTGTCATGTAAGTGTGCATGCCTTTTTCAGTTTGTGTATTAAAATTAACATTTCATGTGGTAAAAAAATTTTTTTTTCATACTTTTGGGTGTCTTGCACGGATTAATTTTATTTCCATTATTTCTTATGGGGAAAATTCATTCACATAACGATTATTTCGCATAACAATTACCCCTCTTGCACGGATTAAAATCGTTAACCGGGGGTCCACTGTATAACATACAATATACAGTGGACCCCCGCATAACGATCACCTCCGAATGCGACCAATTATGTAAGTGTATTTATGTAAGTGCGTTTGTACGTGTATGTTTGGGGGTCTGAAATGGACTAATCTACTTCACAATATTCCTTATGGGAACAAATTCGGTCAGTACTGGCACCTGAACATACTTCTGGAGTGAAAAAATATCGTTAACCGGGGGTCCACTGTACTATGGGCTTGCCAACAAATTTTTAACATGATCCATTCTATCTGCAGGAACAGTATAAGCATACAGCTTTCAGTAATAAAGGTTAGGTTAGGCAACATTCATCAGGTAACAGGACAAATTTTCCTGATGCAGGTCTTAGTCACATGATGACCCATTGTTGGAACTTTGGTCATCTAACTGAGGTCTTCTGCTGGCTTACCGGTCTACCCCTTTAAAAATTATGGTCATTGTTATAACCATATATGTCTGTAAATAATAAACATTTGCATTTCAAATAGAATTTATATTTTTGTATCAATAACTGTACTGAAAGTGTGAAACTTCATTACCAGCAGTGTAAATACAACCTCTCCTCACTTAGCGATGTACTTGTTTACTGACAACTTGGACTTACGACGGGCTCTCTGACCAGTATTCATACCTGTGTCAGAACTGGTTTCCTCTATTCTGTTTATTACAATATATGTACAATACATTGCTGTATAAACATTTCAAAATATGTATACTAAAAATGTTATAAATGGTGCAAGGGTGACATTAAAGCAATATCAAAGATGGTTGATATAAACCCACTACCATTATAGTATGCTCCTCTTTTAGCAACGAATTCTTTTACCAAAATGGTATTAGGAATGGAACTCTGTCGTTAAGTGAGGAGAGGCTGTACTCTTGCATTATATTCATGGTAAAGTGCTAAAACAGTAAAAGGCTCATACAGCATGGATCAAACTGCATTTGGTTTGCATTTGGTCTTTTCCATGGATCAAACTGCGTTTGATCCATGGAGAAGATACCTCAATTTACATTACAAAAACAAAAGCAAAACTCTTATGGGCTATATAGTAGTGTAGCTTCAATTTCTTGGATCAAAAGCCCTTCAGCATCAAAGTATCCCACATAAGAGCTTTTTTTTTTTAAGCAGTGAGCTTGACATAGCACTGATTGCACTTCCTCTGTATCTGATTATTGAGTGAAGTTACCATAGTATTTTTATAATAATATCAATGAATGGTGACTATAATTAATATTCCCAGTTATGTGTGTTGGCATAAGATGCATAAAAATGTTGTCTAAATGTGGCTTGACAACTATACTACAGCATGTATCAATATTTTACTCTTAAAGACAGTATTAAATCTTTGTTGTAAATAAAGTACGTACAATACTGACATACCCTTTCATTTTCTGTGTGGCATTGACCCCAAGTGTCGCTCACGTAGATTTATGTTTTAAGCACAGCGCTCTCAAATAAGTTGTTAACAGTAAATTTTGGTTGAAACATGAAAGAATGGCTCTGTGCAGTGAGTGTGCAGTGTAAAAAAAAAAAATCCTGCCCCACACGGTGCATATGGTTTACATAAAAGAATATGAAGTGCTTTCTGGCTTTGTTTTTTGTGCTTTTATGCTGTTTCTTTGTATCAATTGGTAAAATGGAAGACATAATACCGAAATAAAGATGATTTTGGTTGGAAGAAGCTTGAAATAGGGCTTAAAGTAGCAGAAATATTTGATTTTTTATGATTTTCCTGAGGAAGGGTAAGGCCCTTTAACCTCCCCCCCCCCTTCCCCAGTCTGTTTCATGGGTTTTACTAGATCTGCTTCAATTCTTCTTTGTGATGATGGATTCAAAATGGAGTGCAAGTGTATTATAGGAGAGGCCTGAGGAGATGATTAATGAACAGAGGATAGGTTACCTTAGTACCTGGAATGCATTATGTTTATTTTGGATTTTTTTTATTTGTTGAATTGTGTAAAATTAGCCAAATTACTGGCTTCTGTGCACTTTATATTTTAGTTCCGATGATTGAATGGGTATTTTTTTGTGCCCAGTCGAGAGAACAGAAATAACTAAGAATTTGGTAGAAATGAGCAATGTAATTGGCTTAAAATAGGACTCGATGGGTGAAATCACCAGTGCATAAATTGCACCCAGTCCACCAACTTTGTGCCTTCATAATTCTGTAAGTTTTCCATTAAATTTTATATTTTTGGTATCATTACATACTTTCAGAAAAAATCTTTTCCGTTTAAGATTTTTGTTTTTCTTAAGTGCCAACACTGTCAGCACTTTTAATTTTGGGGATCCTGACAAGGAAAGGATTAACCCTTTCAGGGTCCGTGCCGTAGTTCTACGGCTTTGAGTTCTGGGTCCAAACCGTAGTTTACGGCTTTGAGTTCTGGGTCCAAACCGTAGTTCTACACCATCTCACCTTACTCAGATAAGCTGTGAGCTGTAAATTTGGGCCTAGATATGAGAGAACACATCTATGCAGCAAACAGTGCATAATGAGAGAAAAAACTGGTGTTTTTTGTGTGTTTTATAGTTGTATTTGCAATTTCTTGGTCTCATTTGATAGAATGGAAGATATATTACAGAAATAGAGATGATTTTGATTGGTTTTACTACTGAAAATGGCTTGAAACTGAGCTCAAAGTAGCAGAAATGTTAAATTTTTGCCGACGTTCAAGAGTAAACAAATCACATCGCTCATCCAATACACATCAGCTGATGGGTCTTACGTGCATTCACAAATGCGCTGATATTTATACAATTATTACAATATTGCATAACAGTAAATCTTCCATTTTTTTATTTGAATAAAAATTCACTGTTACTAAAAAATCAAAATGGAATTTATTTGTAAAGCCTGAAAATGTAACTAATGAACAGAGGAAATGTTAGTTTAGTGCCAGGAATGCCTGCATTGTTTATTCTGGACCATATTTTGAAATAGGAATATTTTGAACTTTGTTATAAATTGGCAAAATTACCAATTTCCGATCACTTTATTGGGTAGTTGAAACAGTCAACTTGGTGATTTCTTGTGCTCAATCAATAAAATAGAAGTAACACTAGGGAAATGGCTAAGAATTTGGTCAACTGGTATAATGTAATTGGCCTAAAATGGGAGTCAAATTCGGCAAAATCACTGATGCATAAATATCACTGATGTATCAAAATTTGTGAGAGCATAATTTCATAAATTTTCCATCAAATTTCGTACTTTTTGTTTTACTACCTTCAGAAAAAGATTCTCTACCATTTCATAAGAAAAAATAACAATTTTTTTTTTTTTTTAATTCTTGGACCCTGTGTACACATCTCAGATTTTGGGTCTGGACCCTGAAAGGGTTAATAATCTAGATTGTAACTGCTTTTCACACAGTTGAGTTACTTAGCTGTTTTAACTTTTAAGGTTTAAATAGTAAGATATTACAAGGACCCCAATGGAAATAAATCACTAACTTTTTTTTGGATTACCCTAGGTAATCTACACATATGCTGCTATGTATGATAATTTATGAGTACAGTGGACCCCCGCATAGCGAACGCCTTGCATAGCGAACAATCCGCATAGCGAACGCTTTGTTCACTAAAATTTTGCCCCGCATAGTGGACAAAAACCCGCTCAGCGACCTTCGTCCGAGACGCGTCCAATGTTTACCAGCCAGCCTCCGCGGTAACATTCAAGCATACACTCGGAATATTTCGTATTATTACAGTGTTTTCGGTGCTGTTTGTGGAAAATAAGTGACCATGGGCCCCAAGAAAGCTTCTAGTGCCAACCCTACACCTCAAAGGGTAAGAATACCCATTGAAATGAAGAAAGAGATCATTGATAAGTATGAAAGTGGAGTACGTATCACCGACCTGGTCAGGTTGTACAAGAAACCAAAATCAACCATCGCTTCTATTGTGGGCAAGAAAACGGCAATCAAGGAAGCTGTTGTTGCCAAAGGTTTAACTGTGTTTTCGAAACAAAGATCGCAAGTGATGGAAGATGTTGAGAGACTCTTATTGGTGTGGAAGTAACCCCAGAAAAGGACTTGCTACCTCAAGTCCTAATGGAAGGGGATTCCCCTTCTAAACACTAACACTCTCTCTCCCCTCCTCCCATCCCATCAATCATCACCAGATCTTCAATAAAAGTAAGTGTCATGTAATTGTGCATGCATTTTTCAGTTTGTGTGTACTAAAATTAACATTTTTTTGTGGTAAAAAAAATTTTTTTTCATACTTTTGGGTGTCTTGCACGGATTAATTTTATTTCCATTATTTCTTATGGGGAAAATTAATTCGCATAGCGAACATTTCGCATAACGACCAGCCCTCTTGCACGGATTAAGTTCGCTATGCGGGGGTCCACTGTATATGGGTGCAAAGCATGGGTTTTAAATGTTGCAGCAAGGAGGAGGCTGGAGGCAATGGAGATATTGTGTCTATGGGCAATGTGTGGTGTAAATATTATGCAGAGAATTCATAGTGTGGAAATTAGGTGTGGAGCTACTAAAAGTATTAGTCAGAGGGCTGAAGAGGGGTTGTTGAGGTGGTTTGGTCATTTAGAGACAATAGAACAAAGTAAAATGGCTTGGAGAGCTTATAAATCTGTAGGGGAAGGAAGGCGAGGTAGGGGTCGTCCTCAAAAAGGAGGGAGGGAAGGGGTAAAGGTAGTTTTGTGGGTGAGGGGTTTGGACTTCCAGCAAGCATGCATGAGCATGTTAGATAGTGAATGGAGACAAATGGTTTTTGGGACCTGATAAACTGTTGGAGTATGAGCAGGATAACATTTTGTGAAAGGATTCAGAGAAACCAGTTAGCCAGACTTGAGTCCTGGACTTTAAAGGAGGGATTTGGGATATTGGCAGTTTGGAGAGACATCTAAACTGTTGTATCTGAGCACCTCTGCAAAGACAGTGATTATGTGAGTGATGGTGAAAGTGTTGAATGATGATGAAAGTTTTTTCTTTCTTTCTTTTTAGGTTTTTCCTTTCTTTTTGGGTCACTCTGCCTCGGTGGGACATGGCCGACATGTTAAAAAAAAAAAATTATGTGTACCTGCACTTGAATAAAATTTCTTACCAAGGGAATTTAATTTTCCCATAAGAGGTGTCACGTTATAACTCAACATACTGTAATAAAGTTGGTAGAATTACCGACAATATGTAAAGTAAAAGGACACAAGTGCAACTAATGTGACATTTATTGTGGCAACGTTTCGCTCTCCAGGAGCTTTATCAAGCCATTACAAACAATACATGGACACAGAGGGTATATAAAGGCTCAGAGTGAGGTGAATACTTCAATAAAGGATCTAACCAGGACAAAACCCAAGCACCACGAACCAGTCAATGCAGGAGTTTACACTATACCCTGTGGAGGCTGTGACAAGATCTACGTAGGTGAAACAGCAAGAAACCTCGACACCCGCCTCAATGAACACATATACGCATGTAGGAACGACAACTTAAACAACGCCTGTGTACAACACCGAAATTCCACCAATCATCTTATGAAATTAGTGATAAAAGAAACTAATTTCCGCACACGCAAGTGCCTTGAATCAGCACTGATCGCTGTTTCGAATACAATTAAACAAAACAACGGCAGCTTCACCATCTCCGAAGTCTTAGCAAAAATCCTCCTGAAAACAGTAAACCCTGCCATCACATAGTCTCTCCTGTTATACTACACAAAGCACAGAGAGTGAACACTGAAACAACCTGCCTCATTCCAGTTTATATTTGTCCAACCTATTTTTATGTTACCCAAGTAATAGCTTTTATATCCTTTTACTCATGTACGAATTAATTGCTTTTGTCACTACCACTACTACTACTACTACTACTACCACTAGTGAACATCGAAATGGTACCTCACTAGTATTCACCTCACTCTGAGCCTTTATATACCCTCTGTGTCCATGTATTGTTTGTAATGGCTTGATAAAGCTCCTGGAGAGCGAAACATTGCCACAATAAATGTCACATTAGTTGCACTTGTGTCCTTTTACTTTACAACTCAACATACTGACTGATATATCTCTGATGGGTAAGGGCCATAAGAATGATTTGTTACATAAAAATTATGTTAAGTGAATCTAATTTTACCAAAAGAGCCTAAGTTATAACTTTATTATTATAATAAAAACTAAGTGCTAAACCCACAAGGGTCATACAGCACTGAGCTATAACTTAAGTTATGGATTGATATGCTTTTGACAGTTTCAAGAGTTTTCCTACTTCCACAGCCTAGCCGGGACAATAATTTTCCACATCAAATTCCTGTTGTTTTTTCAATGCTGTATTTAAAAAAAAAGGTACTCTCCAAAGAAGGATCTGTTGCTTACTAGTGCCATAGCTGTAGTGTACCTCTTATTTATGAGTCCATAACACAAAAAATGAGCATCTGAAACTGAAATATGGAATTTTAAGAAATATGTACCGTGCTCCCCATATTATGTACTATTATTATAATCAAAACTAAGTGCTAAACCCACCAAGGTTTAGCACCATTGATGAGTATTGTAGAGGCATAATGCAGTTCACTGCACATCAGAACAGGGAAGGAGCTAAATAAGAGGATGGAAGAAAGGGATTTAGGTAAGACTTATGTAGATGACTGTGTACTGGAAGCAGAGGACCACTCCTGAAGAAATTTTTGATTGATAACTGCCTGGCTCGATGTTGTTTCTCTATAAACAAATTACTGTATCACTTCTGCTCTGTATGACCTTTGTAGGTTTAGCACTTCTTTTGGATTATAATACTACAACTACTGTATCACTTACTGCAGTATCAAATGCCACTGTGAGATCAGTGTTTGGGCTGACAGTTTAGTGCTCTAATTATTTGCTGTTGCTCTAAGCTTGCAGTTTCATCAATATTATTATTATTATAATCAAGGGGGAAGCGCTAAACCTGGAGGATTATACAGCGCCTGGGGGGGGGGGATGTGGAAGGCATTCAGGCTTAATTCGGGAAACTGGAGCACAGATCCAATTCCCTAAATCAAGAGCCCCTCACCAACATCAAGGAACCTTCCTTGAGGGGAGTTTCATCAATAGCAACTCCTCAATGCCGAGGGGCTCATCATGAGTTCAACAACTACAAGAAGCCATTCACAAGAACATTATTAATTCCTGTGTGCCTATCTCCCAGTGAGTATATCTGCAAACAATTCAATTTGAATTCATGAAAATCATTAACATATTCAAGCCATAATTTCTTCCTTGCATTGTTCATTGTAGCAACTGTCACTGCTTTCCAGGCATCAGTAATGATACTGATGGCATTCAGGATATTAAATTCCTTGGTTGTTGGCTTATTCTTGCCATCGTTGTGAAGAACAAGTTTTCCAAAAGGTTTCTCCACGTTAATTTGAAAAATTTGCTAGCAACACTGATTCAATGGGAAGAAACTGAAGCCTGACATGTTTGGATGCATATACTTGTCACTAGATGCACTGTAGATGCATTGAAGAGCAGCAATCCTCTGTGAGAAAGGTTCTTCTCACCATATAATTTTCCAACAATAGGGCAAAGAGATATGACATAAACCACTCAATAAACACTGCTTCTGTTATCCATTTTTTTTTTTGGTGGCTTACCAAATATCTTCTTCAATATTTTTTCAAAGCTCACAGGTTATCAAAGTTATACACTAGGAGTGGTTTCAGCTTGAAATTCCCAGGACATTGCCACCTTTTGGAAGAGTTGATTCTTTGCTACTTTAAAGAAGGGGTCTGGGATACTGACAGTTTGAAAGGACTTCTAAACTGTCGTACCTGAGCGCCTCTGCAAAAACAGTGATTATGTATGAGTGAGGTGAGTGTTGAATGATGATGAAAGTATTTTCTTTTTGGGGATTTTCATTCTTTTTGGGTCACCCTACCTCGGTGGGAGACAGCCGACTTGTTGAAAAAAAACAAAAAAAAATTTTTTTTTTTTTTACTATTTTAGTTTTCTAACGCTATGCACAAGGAATACTTATGATATTATTTCAGAATGTAATACTCTTCAGAGCATGGAAATAAGTCACTTTGATTGACCTTACTTGGTTATCCTGGGTTAAATAAACTTAAGTGTGCTTTGTGACTAAATCCACCATTAGTGATCACGATATTAAAATAAATTTAGAACGACTAAGACATCATCATGCCACTTTCGCATCCTGTTTGTTGGAACAACAGCTCCTGATTTCATTGTTTACTTATGCTAGTTAGGTGTACTAGTATGTCAGACACATAGGCATCACCCTTCTGTCCATTAGATGACTAGCTTGTAGAAGACCCAGAATTGAGATGAGGTAAAAAAAATATTGGCAGGAGGAAGATTTGAAGGTATGAAAAATTGTGCATATTAGCACAATGGGCAAATAGTTGTCAGTTGCGAACTAGTACGTTGGACATGGTTTGAAACTTAATTATAATTGTAATTTGAAATTATGCTGTGTGAACCTCTGTTAAGCAAGGGATCACCACACCATTAACCCTTTCAGGGTTTCCAATGTACTAGTATGTTTTACGCACCAGGGTTATTGACATACTGGTACGCGTAAATTCTAGCGTCTTCAAATCTAGCGAGAGAAAGCTGGTAGGCCTACATAGGAAAGAATGGGTCTGTGTGGTCAGGGTGCACAGTATAAAAAAAGTCCTGCAGCACACAGTGTGTAATGAGAAAAAAACTTTAACCATGTTTTTGGTTTAAAACAGTGACTTTGCACTGTATTTTCGTATGGTATTTATGGTTGTATTCTAGTTTTCCTGATCTCATTTTATAGAATGGAAGACATATTACAGAAATGGAGATGATTTTGATTGGTTTCACAATGAAAAGTACCTTGAAACTGAGCTCAAAGTAGCAGATTTTGTTCGATTTTTGACGAAGTTCAAAAGTAAACAAATCATGCCACACATCCGATACATGTCAACTGGTGAGTCTAATATTCTTTCACAAGTGTGCTGATATTATTTATACCATTTCTACACTAATGCAGTAGTCTGCATAACAGTAAATCTTCTATTTTTTGAGAATAAAAATTCATAGTGGAAAGCAAAAGAAATGTAAGTGGGGCCTGGGGACATGACTAATGAACAGAGGAAATGTTATTTTAGTGCCAGGAATGTCTGTCTTGTTTATTCTGGACCCTATTTGGAAATTGGCATCTTTTGAAATTTGTGTAAAATTGACAAAATTGCCAATTTCTGACCACTTTATTGGATAGTTGAAATCGGTAAATGGGTGATTTCTTGTACTCATTCAATAGAAAAAATGGAGTTCTAACGAAATAGTTGATTTTTGTCGACTAGTACATTGGAATTGGCCAAAAATAGGGCTCAAAGTGGGCAAAATCGCTGATGTGTAAACATCGTCGAGACCGCTAACTTTGCGAGAGCATAATTCATAAGTTTTCCATCAAATTTCATACTTTTGGTGTCATTATGATCAGGAAAAGATTCTCTATCATTCCATAAGAAAAATGAATTTTTTTTTCTCTAAAAAATTTTTGACCCTGAGAAAAACTTTAGGAGAGGGCCTCTCGACCCTGAAAGGGTTAAAAAGTAAATAAGAAAAACAAAAACTGAAATGAGAAATAGTCAAAGGTTAAAAAATCTGCATGAAAATACATCATTCATTCATTTGTGGTACTATATACAAAACATTTTATACACAAACTAGACCTAAATGCCAGAAATGAGATAAATCAGTAACTGTTATATACCTGTACCATATAAACAAGAGATAAGTTTACCCATGACAATAAACCTTTCAAATATATTAGTTTGACATTGATAAATTATTTACACATGTACACAAAAGTAAAACATTTCAGGGGGTCATTATGCACCTTGCAAAATAAATTGCACTTCTACTTATGATGGTCTATATCCTAAAATATTTATCTTCACAGGCAAATTAATTTTTTTTAAATTTTTAAAGTTGCAAATACAGTACATGGTAAAGCTATTTAATGCAAAATCAAATTATTATTTATTTATACATGAGATTGCAATTTGGAAAATCTTAATTCACATTGGAAAACTTGCAAATATATAATTTTCATAAATTATCATCATTATTATTATTATTACTTATTATTTTAGACCCAAACATGAATAATCCTGCATAAAATTAATGTTTTTATTTAAATCTTTTGGGTTGCTTGATGTTTAAATTGGCCATTTCCACTGATTTGGAACTGGTTCCTGAATAAGAGGCTCCCAAGGCTTCCACTCCAACATTTTGCGTGCCAAAGACAATTCATTTTCAGCCTGCTGAATCACTTCCTCAATTTGACCACAGTTGATGGCCTTCTCTAATTTAAACACATCTGGTTCCTGTAAATATATGAAAAAATAAATTGCACTAATTTTTAATTATAATTATTCTCATTATCATTATTACAGCCTCTCCTCACTTAGCGACGGAATTCTTTCCCTGAGACCACGTCGTTAAATGAATTCATTGCTAAGTGAGGAGCATACTATAATGGTAGTGAGTTTGTGTCAACCATCTTTGATATTGTTTTAATATCACCTTTGCACCATTTATAACATTTCTGCAATATTTTTAAATGATGATACAGTAGTGTACTGTATACTGAAATAAACAGAATAGAGGAAATCAGCTCCAATATACATTATTTAGGTATGAATTCTGATCAGAAAGCCCGTCATAAGTCTGAGGCGAGGTGAGGCTGTATTATTTTTTCAACACACCCGCCATCTCCCAGTAAAATAGGGTGACTAAAAAAATTTTTATAATCATTGCCATTCACTCAATCGCTGTAGTATCAGACCTCACAATTCAGGTGACCCTCTGAACAACAGCTCTTCACTCTTTCAAAGTGCAGGCACTGTATTTCTTACCTGCAGGACTCAAGTTCAGCTAACTGGTTTCTTGAATCCCTTTGTAAGTGTTACCTTGTGCATACTCATGTAGCACATCATAAAAACCATTCGTCTCCGCTCACTCCAATCTAACATGCTTGCACGAGCCTATCTGATGTTCGCTCAAAACCTCCTTTATCCTGTCCCTCCAATCCTTCCTGGGAAGCCCCCATTCTCTGCCGTCCTTCTACCTCACATATGTACCCTCTTAGTCATTTTACTCTGCTCTATCCTCAATTCTTTGAATTATTCTTTTGATAACCCCAGTCTTCTAATTTTCAAGGTCTGAATTCTCTGCATAATATTCACACCACACATCACCCTTAAACATGACATCTCTACCATATTCAACTCCAAGCAAAGTTCAAAACACGTGCTTCACACCCAAGTAACAGTGCAGGTATCGCTATACTCGGGTACATTTCACTTTTGTTGCTTCCATGGATGATACTTGCTGTCTCACAGATGCCTCAAAGCACCACCTCCCTTTTACCTTCCTGTCTATTCTATAGATCACCTCACCTTTTACTGACCTATTTGCTGACAAGTCCACTCCCAAATATCTTTATACATTTACTTCCCCCATACTCCCTCTAATCTGATATACAATCTTTCAGTGCCTAGATACTTTTTTACCCTCATCACCTTAGTCTTTCCTATGTCCATTATTAGTTTCCTTCTTTGACATACCCTCCCAAATTCCCCCACTAACTTTCATAACTTCTGTTTAGAATCTCCCAAAAGAACCCTGCCATCAGCAAAGAGTAACTGTATCGAATTCATAATTCTTTAATCCCACACCTCAGTACTGACTTCTTTTACAACCCCATCTATAAATATGTCAAATAACCATGGCAATGTCACATATCCCTACCTAAGAATAAGAATAAGAAGTTTATTTCAGCATGATACATGTTTCAACAAAGGAATATGACAATTGGGTATCCATGCTGAAAGCCCCTTGATATGCAGAGCATTTATGGGCAAACTTAGGACTAACTTAAGATTAATAAGGCAATAACAGTATGAGTAATTTTGTACATATTGTCACTTAGGTGAGTGTAATTTTAAATTTAGGAGAATACAATGAATACAAGGGAACTGAATATTCTATTAGTTCATGCTAAAGGGCTTTAATAAGTTAGATATAGAGAAATTACAGTTTTGAACACAATGGATTGATTAACATTTGAGAGGATTACAGATACTAAGAGTAAGTACGTATGTACAGTGGTACCCCAAGTTTCATACAGCTCCCAACTTGAACAATTATGTAAGTGTATTATTATAAGTGCTTTCGTAAGTGTATTTTTGGGGGTCTGAAACGGACTAATCTAATTTACATTATTCCTTATGGGAACAAATTCGTTCAGTAACAGCACTCAAACAGTCTTCTGGAATAAATTATGGCCGAAACTCGGGGTACCACTGTATTGATTATAATGTTTTACCCATGTTCATGATATTGAGCAAATGCATGTATAGTTTTAACATATACTATATTTATGATGGGCTGGGATAGGTTAAGGAGATAACATGTTTTTTTAATGGTAGTTTTGAAAATGCTAGCTAAGTCAGTGGTTCTGGAGGTTTTTGGCAGAGTTTTCTATATTTTGGGCCCTTTGATGTACAGTAGACTTGTCAATTAACACGAGTTCTTTTTGCACGTTCTCTCCATTACACTATTGCCAAACTGCGGCGTATTTTTATCTAATGCTTTGTAAAATTCATTTTACACGGTTCCACTTGAGAGTAGCAAAAAATTTCAGCCCCATAAGCGGAACGGTGGGGATTGTCCCCCTTTGTGTAGTGAGCACGAGGCAGTCTGCCTGTGGGTCCAGCCATTGTCTTTGCAGGGAAGGCCGCCTAGTTGCCTAGTGCTCCATACATACGCGTCCAGTACGAAACCCAGCATTGTTTGTGAATTGGATTTTGGCCTTTTCACTACCGTATATACGGTAGGGGTAGATCAGTGAATAGTACAGTGAAAGTAGTGCTATTTATGGTACATCATAATGTATCTTTGAGAGGATGCCAACTGTTCTAGATACTTTTTTGTTATCTGTGTTGGATATGGGTGTTGAATTTCAAGTTGCTGTCTAGGTGCAGACCCAGAAATTTTCCCTCATTTTATTTAGCAATAGGGGTGTTGTTAAGCATAATGTTCAGTTGGACCTCTCCTGCTCTACTCCCAAACATAATGTAGAAGGTTTTGCCTATATTAAGTTTAAGTCTATTGACAGTCATCCAGGTTGATATTTTTATGAGCTCTTCATTAACCAGCGCTGAGCGAGGCAAGATTAAGGTGGGAGATGACAAAAGTCGTGTTGTCAGCAAAGAGAATAGGTCTAAGTTGTTGTGATACACTTGGAAGATCGTTGATGTATAAAAGGAAAAGGAGGGGGCCAAGTATGCTTCCCTGTGGTACCCCAGTGTCCAGGGGCCTTGTGGACAAGGCTGTATCCTTAATAGAGACGTATTGCTATCTATTAGTAAGGTAAGGCTTGATATATGCTAGTGCATGGCCTCTTATACCATAATGATCAAGCTTGAGGAGAAGGATGCTGTGGTCTACTGAATCAAAAGCTTTTTTAAGGTCGATAAAGTCCAAGTGGGTATCTGCTTCTTCAAGTGCTGTGTAAAGCAGGTCTAATTTTATTATTGCATCATTTGTACTTTTGCTTCTCCTGAAGTAAAACTTGCAGGGGTTGAGGATGCTTTGTGATGTAATGAAGGAGTATAACCTCTTGTGTATGAGCTTCTTGAAGATTTTGGAAAGTAAAAGCAAGTTTGATATTGGCCTATAGTTGTTTACATCTGTTGGGTCACCACCTTTGTGTACTGGTGTAACCCTTGCTATTTTGAGTGATGCCAGGAAAGTGTTGGTTTCTAATGATTTGTTACAGAGCAATGCAATAGCAAGTGAAAGGACTTCAGCTACTCGTTTGTACAGTATTGGCAGAACTTGAGCTATATTTCCTGATTTGTTTTATAGTGAGTTAATAATCATGGCAACTTCATTGGGCTTTGTTGGTGCAAGATAGAGGGATGTTGGGAAGTTTCCATCCAGATAATCATTAGCTCAGACATTGGTACTTGAAATTTTACTGGTGAGACATGATCCTATGGCTGAGGAGAAGTCATTTATCTTGTCAGCTGTATCAACAGGCTGGAGTTGCAGTTCATTTGGTTTAGTTTATGGGTGCCCAGGATCTGAAAGAGAGACTTCTATGTTTTTTTTATATCTCCTCTCGTTTCAGTGAGCTTATTAGAATGGTATAGTTGCTTGGACTTTCTGATTAGTTTGGTGAGGACTGACAAGTAGTGTTTGATAAATTTATTAGTTATTAAGCCCCTTCTATAGTGTTTTTCATATTGATGTTTCATATCAATAGATCTTAGAATGCTTTTAGTAAGCCATGGGCAACTTTGTATTGTATTAGTGATCTGTTTAGTTTTTATGGGACAATGTTTGTTATATAGTACGTACATGCATTTTGTTTAGAAATATGTCTACCCATTTTTCAATACTATCAGCATTGAAAAATTCTGTATGCCAGTGAACTGTCCTTAGTTCTGCAGTGAAGTTACTTATTGATGCCTCATCATGGAGTCAAAAAGAGAACTTATTGTATTCCATTGGTTGTCTACAAATGTTTGTTAGGAGGAAAGCTGGTTAGTGGTCAGTAGTGTTGTCTGTGATTATCCCCGTTTTAAGGGGCCTACTTTTACCAGAAAATTATCCTCTCTCTCTCTTGAATACCCTAACCGGAGCTTCATTATACACATAAAAACCCTAATGCTTTTAGTAATATATGACCTATTCTGTGTATTTGCAACATATGCCTTTTCTGAATCCATAAATATGTACAGTACAACAAAAAATTCCTTGCTCTTATCAAAGTATTTTTCATTAGTTATACATCACATTAAATACTTGGTCTACATACCTCCTTTCCTTCCTAAATCATCCTTGTTCTTTGTTATCCTACTTTCCCTTTCACCTTTAACTCTTTCAATAATAATTCTACCATAGACTTTATGTGGTATACTCATCAGGCTTCTTTCCCTATAATTCTTACACCCTCTTTTATCCTTCTTCTTTCCCCTTACACAAAAGAACTATGCATGCTCTATGCCAATCATCAGGTACCTCCCTATTCTTTTAAGCATATACTGAACAAATATACCAAACCACTCTAAAACTATATACCCACCTGCTTTAAACATTTATTTTAATTCCATCTGTTTTTACCCCTTTTCATTCTACCCACTGCCTCACATGCATACTTTCCCCATGCTTACAATTGGCTATTCTCTTCTATAGTGTTTTTCATATTGATGTTTCATATCGATAGATCTTAGAATGCTTTTAGTAAGCCATGGGCAACTTTGTATTTTATTAGTGATCTGTTTAGTTTTTATGGGACAATGTTTGTTATATAGTATATGCATTTTGTTTAGAAATATGTCGACCCATTTATCAATACTATCAGCATTGGAAAATTCTGTATGCCAGTCAACTGTCCTTAGTTCTGCCCTCCTTTCTTCTTAAACATTTAATAACTCCTAGAAATATTACCTCCACCTCCCCTCTTTAATTTTTAACTACCAAGTTCATTTGTTTCACTGGCTTTCTCAACCTATGACTTTCACCCTAGAACTTTTTCTTATTTTCAGCAAACTTTGCAGATAAAGATTTACCCATTCTCTCACTGGCTCTTCCCTAGTACTCCTTCATTACTCTTTTAACCTCTCTTTTACTCTCCATATACTCCACCCTCCATATATCACTACTACACTGTAAAAGCCTCGTTTAAAAAACAAAGTGAGCAAACTAGGACATGCTTATTAGAAAACGTGTCTTTTTAAGGAAATTTGTCAGCAACAATTACCAAAGTTCACACCACTGGGAAAGCCTCTCATATTTTTTACTTTTTCTCCCTTAACATCCTCTGTATCTCAGCATGCCACCAATTGCTCCTTTCTTCCCAGAAACTTCTACACACACTAACACTGAATTCTTAAATCAACCCCATACCTCCTCAACCTCATCATTATCTGTTCTCTCTGTAGCCCATCTTTCTTCCAATAGTTGTCTATATCTTACCAGTCTTCTCCTTTAATTCATTAACTTTCCCCTCACTCATTCTTACTTAGTATTTTTCTGCACATATCTACTTGTTTCCATGGTTACACTCATTCATACATGTGTAGTGACTGAAATGAAGAATATCAGAAGACTATTTATGTCTTTGGTTTGGGTCTGCACTGCAGTTGTCCTGAACATCCAAAGAATACAATAGAATGTGTTCATACTATGTATATTTAGTAGGTTTAGAGATTTGAAGGGTGCTGCAATCACACAAAACAAAATATGTTTGTACCGTTTTTACGAGAGCACTTCGTTCACTGATTATTTGTTCTGTATATTTACGATAGGCAGCATCAGGAGGCATTTTCTGTAGACACCGCATAATTTTGCCATACAATACGCCAAGTGAATGATGTGGATTGCGTGCCACAGCCAACCCAGCTAGTGCAGTAGTCTGAAAGCAACATGAAATTAATGCTACATTTCATTGTGCATATACATACAGTAAATGCATTCATGTAATAATTTAGCTCTATTAGAGTATAATCTTCCCGCCAATTTTTCTATAAATTTCTACAAGTTTAACAATGAGTATAAGTAATTTTTAAGTTTAATAATGAACATTACAGCAATGTAAAGCTATAAAGGAGCCTCAAACTGAAATAGTCATAGGAAATGACTTTTGTTGGTTATCTTAAGCTAAATCTACTTAAAAATTCTGAGAGACAGATTTCATGGATTCACCAAAAAGCTCATCGCTGTACATAAGCCACTCCATAATACTTTATTACAAATTATGAATCAAACTCTAAAGATGACATTTATGTCCAAAACATCTATAGAAGCCTGCCTATCAGGTATTTGTGTATTTGTCCAATATTCATCTAGGATTAATAACTAAAAGACTGGCAAAGAATTACACTATCATACTCACAAACCTCATAAAGAAATCTAAGTAGCTATAATATGCCAACAGATTCACTCAAATCAGATATATAAAAAAAAAAAACCTGCAGTCCTGATAAAAACCTAATGAGCCTCCCCTCCAAGACTCTGAGACACTGACAGAGATGTAAGCCACAGCACTGTGTCCTCCTTTGTTGATGATGCCAGAATTTGCATGACAAAGCCATCCATCAGGTACACTGCAAATCACCAAGTGGACATTAACCAAGTCTTTAAGTGGGCATCAGAAAACAATATGAAGTTCAATGAAGACAAATTTCAATTACTCCACTATAGAAAACTTGAAGAAATAAAAGCTGTATCAGAGTATAAAACAAATTTAAATTACATACATAATAGAGCAAACAACTAATGTGAAGGACCTGGGAGTGGTAATGTCAAGAGAATCTCACTATCAAAGATCATAACAATGTATCTATCACATTTGCTAGGAAAATGATAGGATGGATAATGAGAACATTCAAAGCTAGGGATGCCAAACCACTGATGATTCTCTTCAAATCACTTGTTCTCTCTCTAGGCTGGGATATTGCTGTACACTAACAGCCCCATTCCAGGCAAGCAAAACTGCAGACCTGGAGAATATACAGAGAACTTGTACTGCAGGTATAAGTACCAAAAAGCACCTAAATTACTGGGAATGATTGAAGGCCCTCAACCTGTACTCCTTGGAATGCAGGCGACAAAGATATATGTTAATATGTATACACTTGGAAACTCCTAAAGGTACTAGTCCCAAATCTATACACTGAAATCACTCCCCACGAAAACAAAAGACACGGCAGGCAGTGCAACATCCCACCAATGAGAAGCAGGGGTGCCATGAGTCTGCTAAGAGACATCACAATAAGTATCTGCAGACCAAGACTGTTCAACTGCCTCTCAGGATACATAAGGGGAATTATCAATAGAACCCTAGGTGTTTTCAAGAGGGAACTGGACAGACACCTAAGTCAATGCCTGACCAGCCAGGCTGTGGTTCTTATGTCAGTTTGCATGCGGCCAGCAGCAATAACCTAGTTGATCAGGCCCTGAGCCACCACGAGGCCTAGTCATGGACCAGACTGTGGGGGTGTTGACTCTCGGAATGCCCCCCAGGTATACCAGGTATACTCCCACACAGTGTATGATGGGAAAAGCAAGCCTCTGACCTTGTGTCTGGTTTAAAATTGCAACTGTGAGGTGGGTTTTATGGTTTGATTGACTGTTTCTTGGCATCACTTGATAGAATGGAAGATATGATTTTGGTCAGTTTCAATAAGATTGAAATAAGGCTCAAATTAGCACAAATATTTGATTTTTGGCAATTTTCTTCAGAACATTTCTGGCAATTTTCTTGAGAATGGGTAGGGCTCCCCTTACCTCTAATCTGTTTTAGGGGTTTTTACTAGATCTGCTTCAATTATTGGGATGGCCTAAACCATGACCACCATTCTTGGTCATATTTTATTTTTGAACTGTAGTATCAGCATGCCTCTGGCAAGACAGTGATGAAGTGAATAATAATGAAAGTGTTTCTTTTTCTTCAGGTCACCTTGCCTCGGTGGGAAACGGTCAAAGTGTTAAAAAAAAATTATTATCCGAGAAACAGGGTACAACTTTGATATTTGTGTGATGATGAATTCAAAATGGATGGCTAGTGTTATATGAGAGGCCAGCTCACATGATTAACCCTTTCACTGTCAGTGCCGTAATACTACGGTTTGCAAGCCAGTGTTGGTGCTGTAATATTATGCCAAAATTCTAGCGGTGGGTGGTGGGGAAGGCAGTGTGGGTTCTTGTAAACAAGTTTTGTAAACAATATAATAATATTTGTGTGGTTATTGTGTTGCATACAACACAATAACAGCTTTGGACCCTCAAAACTAAAATTCTTTACACGGGCAAATCATAACTCAAAATTATCATAACTCCTGCCCATTGTAACTCAAGGGACCATTGTATAGGTTAGAACATAATTAATAAAAATTAAAAAAATGTAACTGTTTAGTTTTAAATGGGTGAGTGGAACTAATTTATAAACTTACAATATCTGAAGGCATGGTTATAAGTTAAGTACAATGAATAGTCTATGTAAAATTTTCAGTACAACAGCTATGTCTGAATGAAGGGGTCTGAAACATATGGAAGCAGAAACAAGTAGTAGAACACAAGGATGAATAATGAATGAAAACTCAAGCAGATTTCAGGATATCTGACCCTAGGATACTGCTGTCATGAATTACATCAAGGTAAGGTGGTGCTTTTTAACAGTAGCTCTGAAGCAGCTGGCAGACAGGGAATCTTTGGAATTTTCAGGTACAAAATTTCCAATTTTGGAACCTTATTAGCACCGAATTTTTACTCAGGTAAGTACACAGAGGATCAAGCCTCCACCATGTCTTGCTCTGAATGACCCACATGGGTTTACCGCTTAGCATGAATTATAGTTATTATTACCCAAATTGTGTCATACATGGGGGTTATCAACAAGGTAGCTACTTTTATCTTGAATTATACCTATGAGCTCTACTGTAGCTTTCCAGGGAAGGTCAGAGTTGGGTTTATATTTGTGATGATTGTCATGTATAAACAATGTGTATATTAGAATAAATCAATATTCTCCACGTCAAGTGGGGGGCACGGGTTGTCTAGAATTTGCTCGAATTATCGTTCACATGGGTGTTAGGTGACTAGTGTGGGTCGCATCCTGGGGGACAAGATTAATCCAATTTGCCCGAAATGCTCTGCATATTTTATTATTATAATCATGGGGAGCACTAAACCTGTAGGATTATTGCTCTACATAACCTGGAGTTTACCTGGGCTTTCTATACAGTATGTCACTGATGTCAGCTATGGTCTGTATAAGTTGTATCATGTACTTGTAGAAATAATTATTATTATTATTTACTGAGGTGCACTATATAACCCTTGTAGGTTTAGCACTTTTTTTATATTATTTACCGAGATCCACACCCCCCCCCCTCATTAAGGGTTAATCCAAACAATAAGTCAAAATTTTGTTTGCATTTTCATTTCAGAAAGTATAAAATAACACAAACACTGAATTTATCATCACGTGAAAGCGTCAAACCCGAAAGGGTCGCGCAGCGCCTGGGTTAATGTAAGGCTTTCAGGCTCAAATTCAAGGGTATAAACAGCTCCAGTTCCCTGGATCAAGAGCCCCCCTTCGCCGGCAGAGTAAACCTCCTCCCCCCCCGGGAGGAAGGTAAATATAAGATCAAGATAGTTGAGCACTCACCGGCGAGGCTTAATTACACCATCCCTTAATACCTAGCACTTAATTACTTCAGCCATAACAGTGGTGCTCATCACTCCGCTATTAAATATTCATTCTAGCGAGTCTGAGAGATGCACAGCATCAAGATATAAGATAATTATCCCCGTCTCTCACCACTTTCTTAGTCGCCATATTGTTGTTGTTGTTGTTGTTGTTGTTGGAGTGATGGTGAGGGTTCAGAGCCTATCACTATTATTATTAATAATAATATGTAATAATAATTAATAATAATACGTAATAATTAATAATAATAATAATCTTTATTTCTACAAGTACACGATATAACTTATACATTATTATTATTATAATCAAAGGGGAAGCGCTAAACCCGGAGGATTATACAGCGCCTGGGGGGGGGGATGTGGAAGGCATTCAGGCTTAATTCGGGGAATTGGAGCACAGATCCAATTCCCTAAATCAAGAGCCCCTCACCAACATCAAGGAACCTTACTTGAGGGGTATAACTTATACAGACCTAGCTGACATGCATGCTATACTATATGAAAAGCCGCTTGTATTGTAATCATTTGTAGCGCTAAACCCGTAGGGGTTTTACAGCGCCTGTAGGGGAGGAATGGAAGGTATTCAGGCTTAATTCAGGGAACTGGAGCTCAGATCTAATTACCTAGATCAAGAGCCCCTCACTTATTATAATAAAGGGGAAGCGCTAAACCCGTAGGATTATACAGCGCCTGTGGGGGATGTGGAAGGTATTCAGGGTTAATTCAGGGAACTGGAGCAGAGCCATTATTATTATCATCAAAAAGAAGCGCTAAACCACAAGGGCCATACATAAGCACAGATCCAGTTCCCTAGATCAAGAGCCCCTCACCAGCATCAAGGAACCTTCCTTGAGGGGAAAAGCCCCTGGTTATGTGGGACAAATTGGGTCAATTTTGTCCCAGGATGCGACCCACACCAGGTAGGTACCGCACCAGGTACCTACCTACGGTAGTGTGCATATTAATTGGGACAGTGATGAAATAAGACATTTGTTTTGGAAAATTGATGTTTATTTGAAAAATACATGGCGATTATATGACAGATAATCAATTTAATAAGAGATGTGACTATCCTGTGCACAATGGGAAGCAAATGAGTTGCCATGACGGTGGCTCGTGGCCTGGTAGGCAAAGCTTACGCTTCACACGCTGAGAGTCCTTGGTTCGATTCCTGGTTAAGGTAGAAACACTGGGAGTGTCTCCTTACACCTGCCGTCCCTGTTCACCCATCAGTAAAATGGGTACCCGTGTATTAGTCAACAGGTGTGAGTCGCATCCTGGGACAAAATTGACCCAATTTGAAAGAAATGTTCTACATAACCAGGGGCTTTCTATATTGTAGTATGTCATTGGTATTAGCTAGGTCTGTATACTTTGTACATGTAGAAATAAAGATATTATTATAAGCATTGCTACACACTTGGGCATAGAATCAACCAATGCTGAACACATTTTGCCAAGTTCTTGGTTGTAGTCCCCTCAAGGAAGGTTCCTTGATGTTGGTGAGGGGCTCTTGATTTAGGGAATTGGATCTGTGCTCCAGTTCCCCGAATTAAGCCTGAATGCCTTCCACATCCCCCCCAGGCGCTGTATAATCCTACAGGTTTAGCGCTTCCCCCTTGATTATAATAATAATCTTGGTTGTAGTACCAGGTCCTAATAACAGCAGCAATTAACTTCACAGTTGAACAATCCTGCATTTGGTTATTCTCAATTAGGTTGAGGTCAGGAGAGTTTCCAGGCTAGTTTTGAATGCTTAGCTCACTCTCTTTGAAGAGTGTCAGCATTCTTCTGGAAGTGAGTCATGGAGCAAGATCCTGCTGGAAAATAACTCCTCCATCAGGAAAGTCTCTATCCACAATGGGAAGCAAATAAGTTGCTAGGATTGCTTTGTATTAGTCACTGTTCATCATTCACTCAACAATAACAAGCTGTCCAGGACCTTTAGCAGTAAAACTACTGCTAAAGGGTGTTTTGATACTTGTTGAATGTGTCCATTCCAAAGAGGTTCACCTTTGCACTGTCTCACTAGCACTGATCTGTACCCATGTACTACAAAATGCGCCACCTCTGAAAATATAACTTTTCTCCATTCATCAGTCGATAATCCCTTGTTACTGAGTGCTCACCATAGCCATTTTTTCTTCATAGCAGCAGTCAATAATTGTATTTTTTACTGGCTTTCTGGCAGCTCTGCCAACTTCAAGGAACCATTTACTCCAGCTGAAGCCAAATCTCTCTGTAGATCTTTGCTGGTTTTCTTGGAATCCATTGCACTATTTCTTATGATAACCTTATCAGTGTGATGTGTTGTCTTGCTTTTTTCTTCCACATCTTCCTCAACACACTGAGGTATGAATTAATGTTGGTAGAATTACCGACAATATGTGTAAAGTAAAATTCAAATTCAAAGTTTATTCTCTATAAAGATTACAATGTTGAATTTACAGAATTTGGTTGTTGTGTGGTTTACATGTAGTTAAATAATGATTACAGAGTGTACCACTAGAACGCCTAGCATGGCTCGGCATTTCAGGCAGACTTAGTTTAATTCTTTATTTTAAAATATTACAAATTATGAAGTAAGTTGGTATTATGGCTAAGTGACTAAATACTAGTTTGTGAGTTTAGCAATGTGAATGCTTTTGTTTTGGCACAGTATATAGTTTCAGTATTGGAGTATCATAGGATTCATTATTTTAAGATTGAGATTAATATTTCTGTTTATGGTCAATTATTATTATTATAATCAAGGGGGAAGCGCTAAACCCTGTTTATGGTCAAATGGGTGAGTGAGTGTAAGTGTGAACCACCAGGTGGTATTCGTGTAGTTAGTTGATGGGGTTTATCAGGGAGATAAGATGTTTTCTAATGGTAGTTTTGAAGGTGATGAATGTGTCTGCAGTTCTAGAGTTCTCAGGTAGGGTGTTCCAGATTTTAGGGCCTTTGACATACATTGAATTTTTGTAAAGGTTTAGTCGGACATGGGGAATGTCGTAGAGATGTTTGTGTCTGGTGTTATGCCTGTGGGTTCTGTCACAACTATCAAGAAAGCGTTTTAGGTCAGGGTTGATATTGGAGTTTAAGGTCCTGTAGATGTAGATTGCACAGTAGATATACTAAGCAACACAGACCCCAACTTATGCCTAGAACAGATTAACTCGGTAGCACTCGATGTATGCACAAGGCTTATTCCTCTAAGAAAAAGGAGGAGTAGATGTAAAACAGAAAGAGACAGGCGCTCCCTTTACAGGCGACGGAAAAGAATAACAGAGCGGCTAAAAGAGGTCAATATATCTGAAATGCGTAGGGAGACACTGGTCAGAGAAATAGCAAGCATCGAACTTAAGCTAAAAGAATCCTTTAGGAGTCAGGAATCGCGGGAAGAACTAAAAGCCATAAATGAAATCGAAAGAAACCCAAAGTATTTCTTCTCCTATGCCAAATCAAAATCGAGAACAACGTCCAGTTTTGGGGCCCCTACTTAAACAAGATGGGTCCTACACAGATGACAACAAGGAAATGAAGTGAGCTACTCAAGTCCCAATATGACTCAGTTTTTAGCAAGCCGCTAACCAGACTGAGAGTCGAAGATCAAAATTAATTTTTTTATGAGAGAGCCACAAAATTTGATTAACACAAGCCTATCCGATGTTATCCTGACGCCAAATGACTTCGAACAGGCGATAAATGACATGCCCATGCACTCTGCCCCAGGGCCAGACTCATGGAACTCTGTGTTCATCAAGAACTGCAAGAAGCCCCTATCACGAGCCTTTTCCATCTATGGAGAGGGAGCATGGACACGGGGGTCGTCCCACAGTTACTAAAAACAACAGACATAGCCCCACTCCACAAAGGGGGCAGTAAAGCAACAGCAAAGAACTACAGACCAATAGCACTAACATCCCATATCATAAAAATCTTTGAAAGGGTCCTAAGAAGCAAGATCACCACGCATCTAGAAACCCATCAGTTACACAACCCAGGGCAACATGGGTTAGAACAGGTCGCTCCTGTCTGTCTCAACTATTGGACCACTACGACAAGGTCCTAAATGCACTAGAAGACAAAAAGAATGCAGATGTAATATATACAGACTTTGCAAAAGCCTTCGACAAGTGTGACCATGGCGTAATAGCGCACAAAATGCGTGCTAAAGGAATAACAGGAAAAGTCGGTCGATGGATCTATAATTTCCTCACTAACAGAACACAGAGAGTAGTCGTCAACAGAGTAAAGTCCGAGGCAGCTACGGTGAAAAGCTCTGTTCCACAAGGCACAGTACTCGCTCCCATCTTGTTCCTCATCCTTATATCCGACATAGACAAGGATGTCAGCCACAGCACCGTGTCTTCCTTTGCAGATGACACCCAAAATCTGCTTTGACAGTGTCTTCCATTGCAGACAACTGCAAAGCTCCAGGCAGACATCAACCAAATCTTTCAGTGGGCTGCAGAAAACAATATGAAGTTCAACGTTTGAGAAATTTCAATTACTCAGATATGGTAAACATGAGGAAATTAAATCTTCATCAGAGTACAAAACAAATTCTGGCCACAAAATAGAGCGAAACACCAACGTCAAAGACCTGGGAGTGATCATGTCGGAGGATCTCACCTTCAAGGACCATAACATTGTATCAATCGCATCTGCTAGAAAAATGACAGGATGGATAATGAGAACCTTCAAAACTAGGAGGCCAAGCCCATGATGACACTCTTCAGGTCACTTGTTCTATCTAGGCTGGAATATTGCTGCACACTAACAGCACCTTTCAAGGCAGGTGAAATTGCCGACCTAGAAAATGTACAGAGAACTTTCACGGCGCGCATAACGGAGATAAAACACCTCAATTATTGGGAGCGCTTGAGGTTCCTAAACCTGTATTCCCCTGGAACGCAGGAGGAGAAAATACATGATTATATACACCTGGAAACCCTAGAGGGACTAGTACCGAACTTGCACACGAAAATCACCCACTACGAAAGCAAAAGACTTGGCAGACGATGCACCATCCCCCCAATGAAAAGCAGGGGTGTCACTAGCACGTTAAGAGACCATACAATAAGTGTCAGGGGCCCGAGACTGTTCAACTGCCTCCCAGCACACATAAGGGGGATTACCAACAGACCCCTGGCAGTCTTCAAGCTGGCACTGGACAAGCACCTAAA